CTCTTCCGATCTCCCCAAAACCCCAAAACCCCAAAACCCCATGATTCAATTTAAAAAATGTTTAAAGTTGCGAGGGAATTTAAATTTATAAAAACATCTACAAAACCTTGAACTTTGGTAATGAAACAATGACACACGAATATAGAATAAAATGATATTGATAGCTGTGTTAGAGATATATTTATTAGTTTAGTTTGTTAGAAATTTAAATATGAGAAAGTCTTGCTTTCTCTTAGGTCTAAAGTTCTAGCTAGTTGATCAAGCTTTCATTAAGAGACCAGCAGTTGGGATGAATTCCTCGAGGATGGTTCTGAGTTCGGCGTTGACCTTGTCGTTCAATTGCTTCTCAACTCTGACTGATTCAATGATGTGTGGATACTTGCTCTTTAAATGCTCAAGGAAAAGTTTTTCGAACTTTGAGATTTCTGAGGTTTGGATCTTGTCGAGGAATCCTCTGACACCAGCGTAGAGGACGCAAACTTGCTCCTCAGCGACCATTGGTACGTATTGCTTTTGCTTAAGGAGTTCAGTGAGTTTTTCACCTCTATTAAGGAGTTGTTGGGTTGAAGCGTCCAAGTCTGAACCGAATTGGGCGAAGGCAGCGACTTCTCTGTATTGGGCAAGCTCAAGCTTAAGAGAACCGGCAACTTGCTTCATGGCCTTGATTTGGGCAGCTGATCCGACTCTAGACACAGATAGACCGACGTTAATGGCTGGTCTGATACCTTTATAGAAAAGCTCAGTCTCCAAGAAGATTTGACCATCAGTAATTGAGATGACATTAGTTGGGATATAGGCTGAGACATCACCAGCTTGGGTCTCAATAATTGGGAGGGCAGTAAGAGAACCACCACCATGCTTATCACTCATCTTGGCTGCTCTCTCGAGAAGACGGGAATGGAGATAGAAGACATCACCTGGGTAGGCCTCTCTTCCGGGGGGTCTTCTCAAAAGGAGAGACATTTGTCTGTAAGCGACGGCTTGCTTGGATAGATCGTCATAGATGATGAGGCAATGCTTTCCGTTGTCTCTGAAGAACTCACCAATAGCGCATCCTGAATATGGAGCCAAGAATTGAAGTGGGGCAGCCTCTGAAGCAGTAGCAGCAACAATGATGGAGTATCTTAGTGAATCATTATCCTTAAGAACCTTGACAATGTTAGCAACAGTAGATCTCTTTTGACCAATGGCGACATAGATACAGTAGAGTCTCTTGGTCTCATCAGCCTTGGGGTCATTGAAGGCAGCTTTTTGGTTGATAATGGTATCGATGGCGATAGCAGTCTTTCCAGTTTGTCTATCTCCGATAATAAGCTCTCTTTGACCTCTTCCAATTGGGACCTATAATTTAATTTTATTAATTCAAAAGATCTCATTTATATTATTATATATCTAAGGAGTTTGAACTAAGTACTTACGAGTGAGTCGACTGATTTAAGTCCAGTTTACATGGGCTCGTGGACTGATTTTCTTGGGATGATACCTGGAGCCTTGAGCTCAACTCTTTGTCTTTGATCTGATTTAATGGGACCGAGACCATCAATAGGGTTTCCAAGAGCATCAACAACTCTTCCGAGCATACCCTCTCCGATGGGGACATCAACGATGGAACCAGTTCTCTTCACGATATCTCCTTCTTGGATATCTCTATATGATAAGAAGGGGTTAGGCACCAGTATTTAAGGAGTTTGAGAACTTACCTATCGTTACCTAAGACGACAATACCAACATTATCAGTTTCCAAGTTAAGAGCCATACCCTTGATTCCACTGCTGAACTCAACCATCTCTCCGGCTTGGACCTTGGTGAGACCAAAAACTCTGGCAATACCATCACCGATTGAGATAACAGTACCGAATTCAATCAAATCGTTCTATAGAGGTAAAATTATAAGGATTCTGGTTGAGGCGCGTATGAAGGGTCGTTTAATGTTCTGGAAGAGAGGAACTTACAACTTGGTTGATGCTTGAGACCTTAGATTGGAGAATGGTAACGGCGTCACCGATGGAGGGCTTCTTGTTCATTTGTGGAGAAGCTCTGAATGCTCTGGTGGCCATTTGAGTCATGTTTTAAGTTTGGCTTAGCCTTGTGAAGAACTTGGACAACATAGTCGATTATTTATTAAATCTTTATATTTCTTTTTCTAATCTTCAATATTTGATAATAATGGCATTTTTTCTTATTCAGAATCATGGGGTTTTGGGGTTTTGGGGAGATCGGAAGAGCGTCGTGTAGGG